GGTATGGCAATATTTTTTTGGAAAGGATATGCTTTTATTCTATTTGGTACCAATTTATGTCTCTTACATCAAATAAACTTCCATTATCCAAGACTTTTAATGCCTAATTAGTGATATTCCTCCCCCTGTAATAACTCAAAATGGGTGTCCTATTTAATATGTGATAGATATTTGGTTAAAGTTGATAACGATTTTTTATTATATTTATGTGTATATTGCTGGACTGACTATGAGTTTTTTTCATTTATTTATTATTTTATTTATTTGTGCATTTATTTTCTACAAAAGATCATGAGAATGTCAAATCAATAAGAGGACAGAAAGATTACGGAAGAGGAGAGCAAGGTCCCTGGACTCTGAAGTGTTATGATTGAGAATCATGTGGACAGATAAATATACTGTCAACATTATACACACGAAGACAAAATATGATATTCAATATATTAAGAGGACAAAGCTTATTTGTAAAGTGGATAAAACGATTGAAATTATTCAATATATTAAAGAGGCAAAGTTTTATTTGTGAAGTTGATAAACCAGTAGAAATCGTGGGGCTTAGGAAGTTCTAGGAGCAGCACATCAATAAGAACCGTAGGCAAATATCAAAAATAAAAACAAAACTTCTATGGATATTTGACTATAACTTGTGAAAGGAATTAGGTTACAGAGGTCCCGGTATCTCTGACTTATGTTTTCGAAACGACAAGTTATAACTATAATTGCAATGCAAGTGTCAGTCGTATAAAATCATGCTTACCATGAACGCTGACACATATTTATACTTGCAATTTTTTGGTTTAGTTTCAAATTTTGTAATTTACACATACAGTCATAGTTATAGGCTAAGGTTATCTTGACAATTTACTTGGGCTCCCGTGTCCGCTTCCTCCGACTCGTTTGAGATGAGTCAAGTTTATTTTGGCCTACATCTAGTTTAGAAATATGATTCTAGAGGATCATTTAGATATCTAGCTTTGAGATGAGTCAAGTTTATTTTAGCCTATATCTAGTTTAGAAATACGATTCTAAAAGATCATTTAGATATCTAGCTAAAAAATGACTAGGTTCACATTGTATAATCTACTTAATAAATGAAACATAAAAATATTCCAAAAATTTCAATTTTTACAACAAGTTAATAAAAAACAAAATCAATATTAATATCAAATAAATTACTAACTTCAGTATGTATACATTACAACAAAACTTCACGGTAAAAATATGTGAAGCTAATTAATAGCATAATAGATATAGTAGCTCTGACAATATTCTCTGCTCTACTATTCCTCTATAATAATGAGAGGATCCAATATTCACTATTCACATCACAATAAATGCTACAGTGAATTACTATAGCATTATTGTTATATCACAAGCATGGGGATACAAGATACAATATTCATGCTAATACTGTAGCATTGTTACTGCACCACAGACAGAAACTGTAACGTTTAAAAACATTACTGTAGGCATTATTATTGCAGCTCGGGCGGAAGTGTAACATTTTAAAAAATGTTACTGTAGCACTTGCAAAAAACTGTATTAAATACAAAATTACTGTAGCAAAAATAAAATAATTGAGGTCATGCTTTACACGGGGTGCACAATAGTTCATGAAATATGAGAGGAAAATACAACAAATACCAGAAAAGGAGATAACCGACATCGGCATGGACAGTAATTTCACTTTTAGCACTGAACATATCATCCAAAATCTTTGCAGGTCTCTCCTGCTATGCACATTTCTTTGATAACTTGAGAAGCGTCAAGCAAGAAGTCCAGATAAAAGGAAAACAACTGCTTCATTGACAAAAAGTACCCAGGTTTACTTTCACCCAACTCGGTTATTAATGACTTGGTACAAGGACCTGAACTGAGTGTTCCATTTATCAATGGCTGTATAATTCTTCATGCCTTTTGACCTGCAAAGAGAATAAAAAAAGAGAGTTTGAGCTAATATTTACAAGTTGAGGTGAAGTTAATTCACCCTAGTTCCCCTTGGTTCACCCCCTAATAGTATAAAATTTGTTACCTCCCAAATTGGGGTGTAACCAAGGGGAAGGGAACTCCCTTCCCTTCCCTTCCTTTCCCTTCTCTCAGTTTCCCTTAACTTCCCTTCACCCCCTACAAATCCAAACAGGCCCTAAGGTACATGAAGTCTCATATTTGACTCTTGCAACGAAGCGGTAGAGACTCCACTTAACTTAGGCTAATCTAGGCCGACGGTCGACTCTTTTAGCCTCCATGAAATTTTGGCAGACAGCCCCTGGATGAAATTAAAAGAATCAAAAAAATTAACCCAGAGGGTCTATAGGTGACAATGAACTACAGGGGTATCAAGTTCAAAACAGCGATAGTTAAGGGGGGTCTATGTGCAATTAACCCCTCTTGGAAAATTCATTCTTGGAACTATTTTAGGAGAGGCATAAAGATGGATGTCCAGTCCCCACGTTGCAGTACTCTTGTGACTTCATCGATATGGCCTTGAACACGGTTGTCTAGAAATTAAGGAGACTAAGAGTTCCACAACATCTTTCTCAGGTACATTAAGTTCCTACATACCAACCAAAATTATTATGAGAAGAGCTTACTAAAAGAACCTCATGTTAAAAAGTTTTACTCAAGAGTTCGAAAGATGACAGTATACATCTTAGCATTACATTAGTCATTTTCTTTCCAATAGCAAAGAGTTCAAAATCAAGGCTCACAAATAGGTCAAATCCTTGAACCATGAAGCATCTTATATCCTTTCGAATGCACAAAATAGAAATCAAGGAGTTCCAATTCAATGATCTAGTCCAAATTACAAGGATTTCTATTATTTGAAAAACCCTGTTTCTTGTAGAATTTTATTTCTCATTTTATGAAAGTGAAGATTTCTCCTCTGGAATTAGGAAATTCCAATTCTGAGAACTATAAAGGAAATGCAAACTTTAGCCAATTGAAGCAGCTGTACCATTATTTGAAAAGAAATATTAAATGCAATTCAAAGACAGTATACCAAACAGCCAGGAATTTGAATTCAGTTCAGCACTACTAATATTAACAAAAATATAAAAAAAAGCTAAGAATTGGAATCATGACTTTATGGTTTAATTCATGAAACATAAAATAATTAACATGGAATTGCATATCAATGACATTTTGCAATGATATGTCGAACAATAGATATTATATAATGACCTAGTCATCCGGAGTTCATATTAACCAAACACTAAGCACATACCTTTGAGACGAAGGGGATTCCAATTCTTGTGTACGGCTTAATGAGCTTGAGCAGGACTTGAGTTCTGATGTTCTTTAAGAGATCTATATGATTACAGATGAAAGGGTCATCCATAATGGTTCTTCTGTTGCTCTGCACAATTTTAAGAGACCAGTCAATACATAAACATTGAGTAACACTAAGAGGGGTCAAATTGAAGAAAACAGATGCTACAAGAAGTCAACGTTTAGAATTTTTTTCAAACTCAAAAATTTCATTTCGTTGATATGCTGCTATAAAATTTGTCATTGCCAAGATTTCTTGTAGCTGCAGATAAATGCAGTTATTAACAGCCTCCGCATAATGTTGATAAACACATAGGAGAAGAAAAAATAACATGGTGAAACACGTAAAAATTTTACGGTTTTGCTTCCTGCCCATCAAATGGGTTCACTGTAGATTCCATTAGCATGTTAGCTAGAACCAAGTACCTGAAATGCCACACAAAAAAAAATACAAAGAAAAATTAATGAAAGGAAGGGAAGAGAAGAGAAGAAAGACATATGAGAGGATATCTGAATTATATACTTCAGGCACTGAATACTACTGCGGTGATTGCCAGCTTCATCGTAATTCTTCAACGCTTCAAAAAAATCAGTGGCTGCTTCTTCCCATTGTCGCTCTGCCATATGCATCTTTCCCCCACATTCATGAATGATTCCCATAATTCGAGGATGAGGAATTGCTGACTTGATTGAAAAGGCTTTCTGATATAGTTGCTGCAACCAAACAATACATAAGGACACTACGTAAGAAGCATAAGAGAGAGGTGGAAAATAAGTATAATGGCAGCCCTAAATGAGCTAAGAAGAGTGGTCACTGGTGAGGCCCACTCCACAAATTACATCAGGGCGGGTTGACATCTTAACTAAGTAGGGACACATACCCAGTACACACACATGTTTAGAAGTAGTCTAATAGACAGCATAATAACATAATAGTACGGATTTTATGAAAACTTCTTCATATGAAACCTTATAAATTACGTTCTTCCAACATAGGTCCAGTTAGGTTACTAGCTTGAGCAAGCTAATAATAACCCAGTCGAGAAAACGGCAATAGTTAAGCACCACAAGTGATGACTAACATAAAACATTATAACATGCAGAAAATCGAAATACAATATAAAGTTATAAACTAACATTGATTGGAGGTGAGGAATAACCGTGCTACCTCGAGTTTTTTGTTGTTCTTTGTTTCAGTGTACATTTGAATCTCAATAGCATAGACCTCCAGAAGCTGTGTTCCCTTCTTATGGTCATCAGTGCCATCCTCTCTTTTGACAAGATTTGTGCAGTTCTTTCAGTATCTGAAATGTGCCAAAGAAACAGTTAAGATTAACTTAAAGCTGCAAAGCTCAGGAAAACACGGGAGAATGAAATGTGAATACCTTGTTCATTCGTCCATATTCACCCATATCAAATGATATCTTACAAAGTTTAAGACTGGTCTTAAACCATAATCTCTGAAGAATTATTGAGACAGTTTAAAAAGGAAATGAATGCTCAGTCACAGCACATGTAGATAGAAAAGCAAAAGAAGAATTATCCAGTGAAAAACTGCTGTTGTACTTTTGTTGTACCTCATTCTTAGCCTCCTCAAGGGCCTTCAGTGTTGTCTGATAGAACTCCACTAGGAGACTAAATTTCTGAGTTGCTGGACTAGAAACAAAATCCATTATGTTGTTCAGATATTTTTAGCTGTAGTTACGTGTAACAGCTGATTTTATGTATGTTAGCATCTCCTTGTAGGCTTCCATCATCTCTTTATACTTCCCCAGTCGATAGTAAAGCTTCAGTTTGCTTTAGAGCTTTGAATCCCCTAGTTGAAAGGAGAGGGTATAAGAGATTAGCTAGCAAAAGAAAATGATAAATATAATTATATATAAGTATATATAATTCAATGTATTTACATTTCGCTTGCTACATATTCTAAAAGATAACATAAAAATTAATATCAAATGCCCAATATATATATGAAATGACTATTACACTAAATACAAGATAATGGAAATAACAATGTCAAATGCCCAATGTATCTAAAATGACTATCACATTCACACCAAATATAAAGAAAATAATAGTTCATAGCAAATTTCAGTGCTACAGGATCAGCAAACTATAAGATACATAAAGAATTTGTAAGTGATATGTATCTTTGGAATGCTGGGAAGATTCACATAAATTATAAGTTTAGAAGTTGAGATTAAAAGTCAAACTGATAGAAGTCTACAGGAAATGGGGTCTCAAAAATATCTAGGTTCGAATACAAAGGAATATTAAGACCAAAAAAGCTAAAACTGAGCTCACTAGATCAGATTTTGGTGCATTTAGCAATACAAACATGTACGCTAACCGATAAAAATGCATCATTTCAGCAAAGCTTGGGAATGCAAATGATAAAAATCCTGAGGCAAAAAAGAAAAAGAAAAAGAAAAAGAAAAAAACTACACTTTTGACTTTACTTCTTAACAGCCATTCATGGGGCTGCATTCAATCTATGATGCACAGATACGGATACGGGACACGGATACGACACGGACACGGATACGAGATACGGTAAAATCCAAAAAAATATGATACGGGGATACGGATACGGGGATACGGCAAGGAATTTAAAAAAAAATATTATTATATATAGAAAAAATTATAAAATTCAACTAACAATCTAAAATATAAATCTATCACAAAATAACAAGTTTACAGACAAAAAGTACCTCAAGATGAAGTGGAAGCTAGTTCGATGACTTCTTCATTGCCTTCTTCATAGGGTTTTTTCTTTTTTTCTTTCGTTTGAGTCAGTTGAGGATCGAATCGAATGGGAGATTTGAGAAATAGGGATGAGTTTTTTAATCGGACGGTTCGGGTTGGATTTTAACAACCAAACCCGCAACCCAAATGAATCGGCCTTCGGCGAATCCGAATCGTGTCCAAGCTCCTTTGACTGTATCCGAGCCTAATTTGACCATTGTCCCGTATCGGACACGGATTGACCGTGTCCGACACATGTCGTGCAAGTGTCGTGACGAATCCGTGTCCGATTCGAGTCGGACACGGATTTGTGGCCTCCGGGGGCGAATCCGTGCTTCAGAGCATTAACATTATAACTCTGTCAAATATCTTCTCATCATGTTAACATTACACATCTGATGACAAAATCAACTTATCAACCCTCCTCAATAGGGTGATAAGTTCACAAATTATCGTCAAGTTAGCATTACACCTCTGATGATAAAATTAACATATTGATTCTCTTTAATAGAACGATAAGTCCTTAAAAATCTCATCATGTTAACATTACACCTCTGGTGATAGAATTAACTTATCAACCCTCCTCGGTAGGGTGATAAGACTACAAATCTCATCATGTTAACATTACATTTCTGATGACATAATCAACTTATTAACCCTCCACAATAGAGTGATAAGTCTATAAATTATCGTTAGTTAACATTACACCTCTGATGACAGAATCAACTTATCAACCCTCCTTAATAGGATGATAAGTCCACAAATCTCATTATGTTAACATTACATCTCCGATGACAAAATCTACCTATCAACCATTCTTAATAGAGTGATAAGTCCACAAATCTCATCATGTTAACATTACACCTTTGATGATAAAATCAACTTATCAACTCTCCTCAATAGGGTGATAAGTCCATAAATTATCGCCAAGTTAACATTACACCTCTGACGATAAAATCAAATTATTAATCCTCATAGGTCCACAAATGATTGTTAAGTTAACATTACACCTCTAAAACTCAAACCCCATAAACTTGTTAATTCTTTTTCAACGGAATAACAAGTATTCATTAAAACTACGAAAATTTTTCTAGAATTATCCTGGTGATAATAAAGAAATTTTTTTGAATTTTATTCTAGATGAAAATTCACGCCAAGTTAACACTACACCCCTGGCATTTTCAACCATTTTCGTTGTCTCGAGTTAAAACAAGATAGAAAAAAGACAAAGGAAAACCAAAATATCATCACTTTTTACTCAAAATGCTAAGAAGTGATACAAAATCGTTGTTTTGTTCTTGTCAAAAGAACGATACATGATTAAGTTTGCGGGCCCATCAAATTGATAGATGCGAGCCGGGACTTGACGTCTGAGAGTTGCTTCTCGTGAGTAGCTCGTACCGTCGCTGCAGTTCTCCTTCTGAGTTCACCTTCACTCAACACCGCAGCAGCAGCCTCCTTCTTGATTTCCTCAAGAGTTTGCACCTCCTTGCAATAATTTGTTAAAATTTCTGCACTCCTAAAGTGGAGTCCTTTCACATTAGCTTCCTCCTGAGCAAGCTGAGCTTCCTTCTGAGCCAACTCCACTTGTAGTTGAGCGATCGCTTCTTGAGTGGTGCGCATGGCGATGGCAGAATCAATCAACTCAGCTTGTATTTGATCACGTTGCCCCTGTAAAGATGCAATTCGGACCTCCTTCTCAGCCAAACTCTTCTGAACGACTTCTCGTCGACGTGCTGCTTCGGCTTGAACGTCGGCAAAAGTCAATTCAGTCTGAGCCTCAAGATCGACACGCTCAAGGTCTTGCAGTGCTCTCAGGTCCTCTTCTAAGCGAGAGATGCTCTCTGAACAATGTTCAATATAATTTGTTAATGAGGGCCTGAAAAACTCAAAAGTGCCCCGACCAACACTGACATTCTCGACGATCTGCTCCATCAGATTCTCTAACTGCCCAATGAAAATTCGGAGCAAGTTAAGAACATCCACCGGGCTTAGAGAAACAGCGGGAGATGACATTAAGGCACTCGAAGTTGCGAAGCTCGGTGCAAGAGTCGCAAGCGATCTTGATGGAGCTAAGCTGGAAGTGCCTACATCCTGCGCTTGCCCAAGAGAAAGCGTCAAAGGAGTTTGTTGCTCTAGCGGGGGAGTTTCTGCTCTAAGCTCTTCAATTGCCGGTGCCGGGGATCCTGTATATGAAAGTCGTTAGCACACAAAAGAGAATTTATCAAACTTTAAAATGAACAACAATTACCTGTGGAAGGGATAGCGGTGTGAACAGACTCTTTGACGGAAGCGACCGCCAGTGGTTCATCAACACCAGCGTCGTCATCCGAAAAGGTCCCCCATAATAAGTTATCATCATCTTTTGTCGCAGAAGATTGTGGCGAGCTTACGACAATAATTGACTTGGGAACTAATCCTGTTGTCGGACTAGGCCTTACAGCTCCCGTCGTCGGCATCAGTGCAGAAGAAGGAGATTGATTTCCTTCAAGCTCGTCCAGCCCAGCCACCTTAGGCTCACCTGCAGCGGGCTCAGCTGCTTCAGCTTGAGCAGCTTTGGGCATGACTTCCTCTTGCATCGCCTCTATGATTGGAGGAACAACACTTGAAGTCTGACCCGAGGCCATCATAACAGGAGGTTCCATCACTGGAATGGACTCTGCATCTCCAACAGTCGATTCATCCTCGCCTTCTTCTTCTGGAGGATGATAAGAGGAGGCTGCACCTGCTAAGGCTAGGCCAATCGAATGGAGTCCAACCTGATGAGAGAGACCCGCAACAGACGATTCCTCTTCTTCCTCCTCTTCAAGATGAACCACAGAGGCGGACTTGAAAGCGTCCTGCATCAATTTAGCTCCCTGTTGAGCTTTTGAAGTCGACACAACTGACAATTTTCTGCGAATCCGCTTGTCCAAACGACACGCTTCATCCTCAGTAAGAGCTCGCTTCCCCGCCGCCCTTTCTTCCCGAGCCTCTTCTGTTGCGGCTCCCTTACCCTCAGTCACCCCCGCCGCCCTTTCTTCCCGAGCCTCTTCTGTTGCGGCTCCCTTACCCTCAGTCACCGCTTGTTCACAAGACAAATACTCGTCAATCCCCTTTAAACAAGTCATCTTGGAGCTTCTCCTTGATTCGTACATCTTCCTGATTTCCTTCAAACAAGATGTATACATTTTATACTCGGGGATTTGAGAAGTGATGTGGTACCAATTACAAAAACTCAAGGCAGTATAAGAGTTAGGCATCTTATGAGGCAACTTGAATACTGCTCCAGTACAACCGGCTACCGAATAGTACCATGCCCGGGCTCCTTCATAAAGATTACCGATAAATACGAGTCGAGGATTAGGATTCCCGACGTATAGCTGGTCGTATCCGAACTGCCGGGAGAATCGATACGGCTGATAGAGCTCAATGAAACATTTACTGCCCCGCCTGAAGATAAGATATCCCGGTCAGATATTAATGAGCCAACGGAAGGCTCCGCCAGTCAAATTTGTGAAGGCATTAGGGCCTCGTACGTCCTGATGAGTCTCGCCATATCCACCGCCCTCAAAATCAAGGAAGCAACGGAAAACATGATAATTAAGGTCTCTTGACAAGATCTTCCGAACCTTAACCGTGTACAAACCTTCCCACTTAGCCGTCTCAAGCCGTCGGACGAACGGCACGAAAGATCCACTGTAGGGAGAGGTTGTTGTCATCAACGAGGGGCAATGTAAGACGAACCATGCCACCAAATAAGTATATGGCATTGGCACGCGAGGGTTAGGAGTTTTCAGAATTTTCTTCCCTTTGGAGCCCGTCCCTTTGACCTGGATGAATTCGGAAGCTAACTCCCTTAGGCCGCTCTGCAAACAGCATACCACTGCGAAGAGAAGATTTATCGGTCTCCCGTGAGCTAAGAGAACCGCAGGATATACGACTTCGGCCATAATGGATTCGATCGGCTTCGGCTTCGTAGGCACTACACACCGCTTCAGCCACAACATTAAGAATCCGGCAAACAATGCCATATCGGAGATGGGATGTTGAGCTTGATAATGAAAACTGTCGAACTCGGTAAATGGTGGAAAGATATCCTCCTGAGCCTCATTGGTGTAGTGAGCGGTAGCAGCATCAATTCGAACTTTAATATCATCAAGAGAACTCGTTGCTAGTCGGGTCACCTCGACATCCTTTTGGTTTAGATTTTGAAATAAATACTCAGCCCAGGATAATTGCTTCACACCACCTCCTCGTAGCCCTGTCAGCTGAGCGCAGATGTGGAAGTGACACATCACTTCCCAAAAGGTTTCATATATCTCAGGATTTGCCGCTCTTAGAATTGTGAGTTCTTCGGTCCCTGGGACGAACTCCTCATACGGCAGTTCCCCGAATGGCAGGCCAGAAACTTCAAACATTTCATGCAACGCAAACCCCAGCTCCCCAACTGGTGTGAAGAAGGTGCATGTCTCCGGATTGTACCGCTCCAGCATGGCGTAAAGGTTGTAATGACTCAGCACAATCCCGTATCGTGTGGCCATCACCGGATTCCCAAGTCCTGAGGTGTCGAGCGGCTCTCTTAGCTCCTCCAAAACAAAGTTTATCATCCGAGCCCACCATCCCCCATCCACAGAGTGTACCCATCCGGGGGATCTAAAAACCTGAGCGGGAAATTCACCTTTCACCGCAATAAACTTTCGAATGAAGACGTTCGCCAAGTTAGCCCCTTCGCTGACTGGATATTCCCTCTGGAACAGGCCAGGTCTCAGAGCCGTCAATTGTCGGCCATAGCGCACTGGATGAACGCCTTGATAAGTGAGTGCTCTGATTGAGACACCATCTTGTTCCTTGACAAGATCCCACTCCATATGCCTTAGGATCGAGGCGCTCTGAAAATAAGATAAAGGGTACATCCGCTCCATGTTAGGCAAGAAGAGGAAGCGGTCACCAACTTTTCGAAGCATCTTGTAGTTCCCATCGTACATGATTTCGACGTCAATGTCGACAGAGTCTCCAAATATGAATGCCAGCTTCTTTAGATTTTTCTGGTCTGTTGTTTCAAGCTTAATATCCGTGACTAAAGCCCTAAGAATCGGCGGACTTGCACGAGTTATGTTGTCCATACGCTCTTTGTTTTGGCCTTGAAATACCGGGAGAGCCTGGTGAAGACTAAAAGTCACATTATTGTCCATACCCCCTTCGTGACCGAAATGATGATGGAAGGAGAGCGGCTCATTGGAGTAGCGCACTGCATAGAAAAAGATAACGGTTAGTATCTGAAAAACAGATGAGCTAAAAAAGTCTTAAAGACTTAGTTGAAAACGCAAGGGTTCACCCATGCATTTCAAACTCAAAACACGAGGGTCACCCCCGCGTTTTAGAATCAAAACGCGAGGTTTAGACCGGTGTTTCAAGTTCAAAAAAAACGCAAGGGTCACCCCCGCGTTTCAGAATCAAAACGCGAGGATCAACCCCGCGTTCTCAGAATATCAAAACGCGAGGGTCTACCCGTGTCTCCAAGGTTCCAAACGCGCGACTCCGCGTTGAAAGAAGAAACCTTGTTGAAAACGCAAGGGTCTCACCCATGCCCCCCCCCTTTTTCAACTTCAAAACACGAGGGTTCACCCGCCCGCGTTTCTAGAATCAAAAACGCGAGGCGTTTTGTAGACCAGCGCCGTTTCAGTTTCAAAAAAAAACGCAAGGGTCACCCCCGCATTTTCAGAATCAAACGCGCAGGATCAACCCGCCGTTTCAGAACTCAAAACGCCGAGGGTCAAACCCTGTGTTTCAGTTCAAAACGCGAGATTCGCGGTTTGAAGAACGAAAACTTGTGAAAACGCAAGGGTTCACCGCATGCATTTCAACTCCAAAACACGAGGGGGTCACCCCCGGTTTTAGAACAAAACGCTGAGGTTTAGACCAGCGGCCGCATACACTCGCTCAGTCCTTCTCTATTCTTCATTTATTATCCTTCTTCAAGACCTAATCTTTTCCCGTACTTTAACTTCTATTTCTCATTGCCTAATACTCTTAACAGTCTTCTTAAGACTCACTCTCATCTCTGCTTCCGCGTCGTAGCTTTCTAATTAATCCATGGATCTATTTCGCCTGTTTCTCCACGTCCTGCTTTCCACATTCTCACTACTCTTCTCGCTTTCCATATTTACCCTCGACAGCTGAGCTGCTCTTGACCACTACACTCGCCTCTATCTCTCCTCAGGCATTACCGACTCCTGTGGCTGTCTCACTTGCGCCTTTATCATCGCTTGCCCTACGCCCTGTTGTCATTTCGTGCCTATACACAGTTTTCACGTATTATTTCAGAATTAGTTATCTCTACTCGGGTATCCTATCATCCGTGTACTACCTGATCCCACGTACAGTTCCTACTCTATACTCCATCTGCATCTATCTATTTCTCTTCTCCATCTTATGTTCTTTTTCGATCCTGTCACTTACGCACCTTCATTTTTCTATCTTATCTCGTGTCCACTCTTTACCCGTTCTTTTTCCAACTGACTTCTCTAAACGGCCTCGTCCTTCCTTCGTTTCACAACCGCTATCTCCTCTTCTCCGATATCTACCAACCACGAGCCTTGACTTCCGAACCCCTGTGCCATCACAGAATTCACTCCTTTCGTGTCTTCACTATTGTATTCCGTCCTAATCTAGTCCCGGTTCCCACCTTCATCAGTTTCGCTACCTCTACATTCTCTTTTCTCCTCACCTTAATGTTCATTCTCCACTGGCGTTCCTCCGGCGTTTCTTACCTCGTTGACGCTCTCTTTCTGTCTAACCCGCTGGTAATCACTAGCTAGCGTTCTTTCTCTCCGATCTCCCCTTCCATCTGTCCTCACTCCAAACATTTTCGTTTTCTCAACCTCTCTCTTTCCTCCAATCGTCGTCGTCTCGTGTTTCCTTTCCCTGTTCTAGCTCCTCCTTCACTTCTCCTCTCAGCATGTTTATACTTCTTCTCGTTCTACTATCCTCTCACTAACGATCCGACCCTCTGCCTTCATTCGTGCGTTGTCAGCTTTTTTCATCCGAACTCTATTCACTGTCTTCCTTCATTGTCATGTACTCTGATGACACCCTTTCTCGGGGCTGCCCTAACGATCATACAATCTTCCCGTCTTGTCTCCTTCTATTAATTCGTCTCCATTGATCTCATCTTTTCCCGTCCACCTTAGTCCTTCCCTCTTCTTCCTCCAATCATCCGATTATACCTCTCTCTGTTACTCCCTTTCGCGAAACTCTTTTCATCCGACGAATCTTTTTAATACGGTCATACTTCTATTCTGCTCAATTACCTTAATTCAAAAAAAAGCAAGGTCACCCCCGCCGTTTCAGATTCAAAACGGAGATTCAACCCCGCGTTCAGAATCAAACGCGAGGATTGAACCCCGTGTTCAAGTTTCAAAACGCGGAGGACTCGCCGTCTAAGAGAAACTTTGTTGAAACAAGTTTCCAGCCTCGCAAGTTTTAAATATTTTTTCCCACCAACAGCACCCAGCTTGACTTCACTGTGCCCGTGTAAGAACCCAAAGGTACATCGGCCCAATCCTCATACAGCCGAGATACGGTCACTGGTTGGTGGACTTCTTTGCCTCAGTTTTGCGTAAGCATAGGAGACGATAAGGTGGCTGTGGTTCCGGCCTAAGGAAAATTATTGTTAAAATCTTAGGAAGAAAATTACGCAAATTTGATTACCAAGCATTCCTCCGTTGCCCTCTTTTTCTTCTACACATGCTGGCCAGCGAAACCCTAACTTATCGTCTCCTTGCTTCCGTTATCCAAGACAGTCGATGACGCCTTCGGCGTGGAGGGGGGGGATCAGGCGCAGGAGTCAGACTTATTCGGGTTCACGGCCGGAAATAATAAGCGGCGGACGAGCGCGGCGGCGGCGCGGCCGGCGGCTGAGGAGGGCTCGGTGATGAGACGGCAGCAACTGGCCGGCGGCAGCGCTGTGATCGGAGGCGAACGAGCAGGGTCTGCGACTCTC